ATGTACCTGGCTTTTTGGCATATCCCTTTGTGTTATTTTTCCTACACTTTGAATCAGTATCCCAACAAAGTGCAACTGGTTGACATAAGTTGTCCTTCAGAGTTTCCCACAGTATGGGTCGGGCAGGTTGCATTTCCCCTCCTGTGTCATTTAACATGCTTCTCTGCTACCAGGAGGTCGTAGATCTAGAATCGTGATCTGAATTCTGTTGATTTTGTTCCTGCCAGCTTTGGCAAAATTACTTCATAGAGAGGGCTGTGACCACCACTGCGAAGTGTCTAACGTGACATTGGCTTTCTTGGATGTGTGATATTAGGAATTGCTCATGATCTTTGCTTAAGATGCATTAACTCATTAGGGAGTTGCAAAATTGTGACACTCCAGTTCTTTCCCTCTTCATTTATTAGCTGAATATTAACTGAAATATGTCCATAAGCAGAATTTTCACTATTGGCAACTTTTTGGCTGCCCTGAGTTATAGTATATATAGGAAAACTGGAAAGGGTCTAGATTTTGTTACTGAACAAAACAAAACAAAGCAGTTTATAAAATAATGACTGTCTGGCATTCTCCTCTGGGGCTAATGAGTGTTTTGTTATTGTTTGTCTTGTTTGTTTTAGTGGGTAATACTGTGAGCTCATGGGTTTAAACATCGCTGGCGTGCTTCAGTCCCTTACAGTAATCCTCTGCACGCTGAGGCCATCCTGGCCTTTAGAGCTTGTTCAGATTGGGTCCTGAGTCTTTTGCTCATGCTCTGGGAGACTTTGTTAAGTTTCCTGCTTTCTGGAACATCCTGTTTCAGAAGATGTTCTCATCTTGAACAGCTTTCACCCCAGCTATGAAAACAGCCATTTCTCCAGGCTGTTTTTGATCCCTTTTAGAATTGGCATTTAAGGATGATAGCTGGGCATGGTGTGCATTGGGAGGCTGAGGCAGTAGGACCCTTGTTGGAGGCCAGTCTGGGCTATGTAGAAACCATTATCTGGGCACTGGAGGTGCTCATTGCTGCTGGATTTGTTGTTTCTTGGCTTTTTACTTGGACAAAAGCAGAATATGTATTACATATATATAATATTATATATATATATATATAAATTTGAGTTTATAGGGATCATTCTGAATCAGGTTCAGGACACTAGTGTTTTTACTTAACTTGTTTACTCTTCCATCTGTCTGTCTTTTCTCCCATGCCTCATACCAATTCTCGATGGTATTGATATGATTGTTCCTTTGATTTATCATACAGTATCAGCCTTTTCACCCATAATGTGATTTCTGAAAGAAAGCTAAGACTTTTTGGCACTCATATTGTACTTTGGGCAGGTATATCCATCTTTACAGGGAATGTATTTTACAGTTCTTTGTTTAATAACACTTAAGTAGTTTTTTTTACTTTTTGGGAGGGTTGTATCAATTAGATGGGTATATATTAGGAACACTGGCTTCATTTTACGCTCAAGTTTAGGTGTTGCTTTTGAAAAATTCAGCCAAGTTTGTAGGTTAGTATAATTTCTTGTTTCCAAATTCAAATACACCAAAAAGGATATTTTAAAAGAAGGTGTTGTCCATGCCAATTCTCTCTGTTCCTTCTCCATTTAGCGGTAACTTTAAAAGCAAATTATGATTCATCCTTTATAAATGTGATCTTTTTTAGTGTTGTTGTTCTGAGACAGTGTCTTACTATATAGCTCAGGTTTGCCTCAAACTCTAGATCCTCCTGCTTCAGCCTTCTAAATGCTGGGATTATATGTGTGCACCACCATGCATAATTAAATATGATCTTTTCTGAATACTGATATTTCCCTGCTTTGCAAATAGAGGGTCTTTGTTTCATGGTTGAAACCTCAGGATTTTGGGTTCCTATTTTTTAAATTTAATATGCATGGCAGCATCCCTAATTACAAGTCCACACAGCAGGTCTCTGACTCTTCTAAATTCAGACAGGGATGGGGCAGGACAGGAGGATAGTGATTATCTTTGCTAAAATTAGTTTCTGTCTAGAACCTTCCAGGGAGGGCATGCTCAGACCCCCTCCCATCAATGGAGTCTGCTCGTCAGTGGGAACTTAAACGTCCCTGGTGATTCTCACGTGTAGCCAGTTCTGGAAACCTGATTCAAAGAGAGCTTTAGGTGTCTCTGGGGTCATAGTGGTTCTGAGTTCCCCTAATTCACTATATTCTTCCTTATCTCTGGATTTTTCTCTGCTCCACCTTTGCCACCTGTTTGCTCATTTCTAAAATTAACTATCTATTCATTTTCCCCATAAACTCATTCTTTTTTTTGCTTGTATTGTTCATTCAAACATGCTTTTCTCTGATTGCTTGTTTGCTATGTTTTCTTTCTTTCTCACAAATGAAGGATGGTAGAATTGGGCAAGGAATATCTTAAGTCCTGGGTGAATGTGAGGGAGGCTCTATGCCCACTGGGACATTGTTCCATCAGGCTCTGTCATAAGTTACTCTGCAAAGCAAAGGATGGGGCCCAAATGGCAGAGTTTCAAGGAGGCTGAGTACCAAAGCCTCCCTTGAGAAATACTTGCCTTTGGGTAGTTAGAGACTCTGACAGAACTTTGAGCTATGGGGCAATGAGGGATCATATTGGGCTTTTAAAAGTCTCATGAGGTTTTACAGTTGAGCATTCCTGTGAAGGAATAAAGACCATATTCTTAGTTTGTTTGTGGAAAGATTCTTCTGTAGGGCACAGGTTGGTATCCAAGATTTGTGTGGCTTTTGCCTGATGTCCAGGAAGCTTAAATTTGGGGTAAGTCCGAAGTTTGATAATGAGTATTTTTCCAGTTGTTTTAGTTCTTAATATTTAAAGGTTAGGATTGGGGATGGATAGGTCTGTGGGAGGGAGGTTAGGTAAGGTCCATAAACCACTGTTACTCATTAATGAGCCTATTTGCTTGACTGGGTTGTTAAATGCTATCTCCCAGCAGGAAAATTTTAGACAGTTGGGTAATAGAGACCTGCCTTCTTTTGGTACCCTTCTGAGCTGTATTGTTCTCTGATGGAGGACATCACTCTTACTTTCTTCCTTTGAATCTCATCCATGTTGGGAGGACTGGGCAGCAGGCAGCACTGACTTCGAGATTTCATATGAAGTTTCAGGGGAGTTTGGGATGCCAGGAGTTACCTTTGGGCTTCTGATGGAGAGCCCAAGTTTGCATGCTGCTGACCTGGGCTGCCCTTAGCCATCCCTGGGCTGGAGCTGCCCATGTGTACAGTGTGGCCTCGTTGCCTCTCTGTGTACACCCCTGCAGTTTCATCGCAGTGAACTCTGAACAGCCTGTGTGACCACAGTGTCAGGGGCTCCTTCATAACTGCTAGTGCCTCTTGAGATGAGTGATGGGACATGCTGGAAGTGTGACAGTGAGCCTATGTGCCCTTGAGACCTTACTCGTAGTTCCACAAATAGTGTTTCCTTAGTTCTGTATAGTACACAAAAACTTCCATGACCTCATGGAAGGAAGCACAGTGGGTGAGGTCTTTGTTGTGTACACAGCAGGACAGGAGTGTAGGAGTTAATGCCATGGATCATTTGAAGGACTGGGACATCTTCTGTAAATATCCTGACCACTTGATTGGGAAGAAAATGTGTGTTAGCTTTGTTTGTTTGTTTCTTTATTCTTTTTCTTTCTTTTTTATTTATTTTTTTAAAATTCTCCTTTCCTCTTAATGTGTGTGGTCCTCACTTCATATGTAGAAAACAGGTATCAAAAGCAAACCTGTTAATAAGGGTAGGTTGCTTAAAAGGAAAAACTTGTTCAAAGTCGTGTTCTTGAAAGATTTTCAGTCTTTGGGCATTTTGTCCTTTCAGGAGGAAGGGATGACATGTAGGGCCTTGTGTTCATTTTTGGTCAATTGGATTTCCAGTGAGTGTTTTTCTTTGGGGGTGTGTGTGTGTGTTGGTCTCTGATGGGGTTTGCAGGGAGGAAGCAGGTTATGGGGTGGAGTGGTCACCTGGCAGGGAGAGCATATGAGCAAGGGAAAGAAAATTCCTTTTCCTGTTGTATACTTGGGCTCAAGCACTGCTTTGCTATTTCTCTGCCTGTAGGCATGGGGAAGAAAATGGCTTTCCCTATGTCTTATTTAAGAGGTAGAGCCCAGTGCTTCATAGCTCATAGGTGCAGGATTTTAATTTTTGCCTTGGAGAACAGATGGTTATTAATATTTGTTTAAAACCTGCACCTGCCATTTGAGGTTGATTGAGAACTGCTCACGACAGTATCTTTTAGCTTGACTTGTGTGCTGTGCTTAATCTTTACTCCAGACTGCTAAGTGAAGATGGCAATACCTCTGGGCACATTTCATGTTCTAGGAGTAGAAATGTTAAAGGCATTCCCTTCATTATAGGGCCGAGCCTGGGTACCTCTCAAACCTGGCTTCTGTTTAATACTTCCAACAGAAGCTGAACCCTGTTCTCTTCAATCTGTTGATATGTGGATTTTGGGCTGGGAAACACTAGGAGGTTCTCTTTTCTGATCTGTGTTTGTGCCGACATCTCAGTTGGTAAGAGCTCAGCAAGTGGGAGGAGATGACATGAGTGTGCCCTCCCATGTGTGAGCGAGCCATCCTCTCTTCTGTTTGGGCGGCAGTGTTGGGAGTTCAGAGGAAACGGACAGATCAAGGGCTGGGCTGTCCACTAGTTCCTTACCCTTTTCCTCCCTGGCCACTTTTTTTCTTATTCATCTTCAGCCAAGATTTTATTGGTGGCTTGCCAAATGTGTTTTAAAGCACTGGTTGTAACATTTATTGAGCATCCACAGTGGACCAAGCAGTGTACTAAAGCTTTATTGTCTTTGAACTTGTGATTTTGCCTTCAGGTTTAGACTGTTACTGGCTGTCTTAAAGAAGAAAGCAGTTCTGTGTTTTTTAAGTTAGTGATGAGTGTTATACTTTGTCAAAATGCCTTTTTCATGTGCTGGTAAAAGAAGTGCTTGTGTTGAGAAAACTTGGTGTGGTTCTACTTCTAATGAAGGCTTTTTCTTTTTCTTTTAGGAAGGCACCAAAGTAATTCAGCCCATATTTTTGGGGAAAGTTATTAATTATTTTGAAAGTTATGATCCCAGCGATTCTGTGGCTTTGCACACAGCTTATGGCTATGCCACAGTGCTGACTGTCTGCACGCTCTTTTTGGCCATCTTGCATCACCTGTATTTCTATCACGTTCAGTGCGCTGGAATGAGGTTAAGAGTAGCCATGTGTCATATGATTTACAAGAAGGTAAGTGACCTTCAGCATAAAAGGTACTTCCCCTGAAGTCTGAGAGCATGCCGTGAAGTTCTTATAAAACTAAACATGTTGTAAATGGTCAGTTAAGCCACACTAGAGATGCTTACTATTTGTATCAGGCTTTTTTAAAAAGCAAACTTTCCCAATATAATCTGAAAGTTTTCTGTTGTAATCAAGTTGTTTGTGCTTGCAATACCAAGGCTGTTGCAAAATAATGAATTTATAATGGAATGTAGTTAAAAGATAAATACTACATTGATTTTCATAGTTAAATCTTATAGTTGTTAATAGAAAAATGTTTTTGCTCGTTAAAACCTTCACTGATATCAGAGTTGTGTTTAAAAGTGTACTTCAGTGAAATTGGGTCTTTAGCATGAAATCCAGGAGAAAAGAATGTCATTGCAGAAGGGACTTAAGTGTTTTAAATGAGCTGTTCAGTTACAGTCAACATAATTCAATTAACTACAGAAAAATATAAATGGATCCATGGTAAATACAGGCTGTATTTAATGAGCTAAAGTTAGTTATGCTTGTCCTTAATGATTTTTTTAAATAAAATAATTAAATGTTTTGTGATAACACTTTCAATTTTAGACTTTTAAAATAATTTTGGAGAGAAGTTACAGTTTTTCGTGTTGCTTCTCTTTCAGGTTAAATTTTTTAAAGTATGTTGCTTTCCTCTTACTGAAGCTTTAATGGTGAGACCAGATTTGTTGTGTTCAGTGCTTTTTGTATCGAGAAATGCCACAAAATTACCCTGTGACTTGCCTTGGTTATTAACTGCTGTGAAGTGAATAGGATTTCAGGTGTCTTTACAAAGGAACTGCCATCGGGAGGCAGGTGTCAGGAGCTGAAGAACTCTTTATAAACTCCATCCTGGATGTCTTTCTCTGGGTCATTTGCTTTCCTTTTTTTTATTTAGAAAAAAATCATCATCTGAATATAAAATGAAACAATGTAAGCATTGCCTCTTTTACCTCCTTGTTGATTCATCTAAAGCTTCTATTTATTGTGAGTCATTTTCTTGGCAAAACACAAGGTGCCGGCTCCACGTTTTCCTTTGAGTGGTCTTAGGAATCTTGGAGTAGTAAATCCTTGGAGGCTGAGCGTCTGGTCTATGGTAGGCTACAGCAAGCACACCGTTTCCTCATCTGTGACGTGGAAATGGTAACAGTGTCTTTGGGCTGTAGTCAAGGGGTCTTCGTCGTCATGACCATCATCACCATCGTCACCATCATCACCACTGTCGTCGTCATCACAGCCTGTCGCACTCCTTTCTGTCATGTAGAAGAGTACTTAGGTTTCTGTATAAATTGGCTAGATTTTCATCTTTCTGGTTTATGTTCTCCAAATATATGAAGTTTCTTTTATTGCACTCCACGGTGGACACCTTAATCCCAGGAGTCAAGAGTGAGGTGCTGATTCAGTCAAACAAAGCTCTTGCACAGGTGCAGTGTTGTTCACCTGTTTTCTTTCTCTTTCCACTAATGCTTTGGAAAGTAGCCTTTGGGAAATCTGATCTAGCTTTGCAGATTTGCTTACCTGAATGTAAACATCTCCCAAAGGTATTAATTTGCTGGCTGGATTATCCTAGAAGAATTATCTCTTTATGAAGTCAAGAATTGCTTGGGTCAGACCACAGACTTAACCTGAAATTCCAGAAACATGGGAAAGAAATAAGGCCAGCTTTCCTTGCCTCGCACAAGGTCTGCTTCCTTAGGTCAGGAGCTGGCTGCAGTGTCGCATCTGCAGTGTTCGCAGTTCAGAGGCAGGCCCTGCCCTTCAGTTCCTGGGCTTGGGAGCTGTCAGGTTGCTTGTAATAATTGGAATGACTGCTAAGCTCATTGCTGTGCTTTGTGGTACTGAATGATCTTGTGGGATGTATTCTATAAAAATGACTTGATATTTATTTACCTTCACAGCTTTGGTAGAGTTACTTTTGGCTTCTCACTATTAATTTTTAAAATTATGGTAACAGATTGCATAACATAAAATCTACCACGTCACTTTTTAAGTGTATAGCTCAGTGGCGTTAATTATATTAATATTATTATGCTGCCATTGTCACCTTCTAACTCCAGAACTTCTCCATTGTCTCAAACTGAAACCCGCATCCATTCAGCACTAGGGCTGCTTTCCTTCTTCCTCCAGCTGTCACCAGCCTATGAATTTGACTACCATGGATTCTTCGTGTAAGTGGAATCATACAGGATTTGTCCTTTTGTGTCTGGCTTACTTCATGTAGCAAAATGACTTCAAGGTTTATGTGTATTGTAGCATGAGTCACAATTCCCTTTAAGGCTGAATAATATTCCATCGTATGACATGCCACATTTTGTTTACCATTCATCTGGTGGGCGTTTGGGTTGTTCCCATCTTGGGCTATTGTGGATGCTACTGTGGTGAACATGGGTGTACAGTATCTATTTGAGTCCCTGAATTCATTTCTTTTGGGCATATATTCACAACTGAGATCGTTGATCATAAGGTAGCTCTGTCTTTAATTTTTGGGGGACTACCATACTGTAGTTCCTAAGAACATTCCTACCTCATCATTGACTTTCTGCTTGAGTACTAAATGAAGAGAATTTGAAAAAACTGGTGGTTTTTTTTTAAAGAAGTATATATTATTTGTACAAAGGGTTTCACTGTGATATTTCTATATGTAGAATTTATTTATTTATTTTGGAGACAGAGTATCTATCCATTGCCTATGTAGCCCAGACTGGTTTTGAATTTGTGGTCTTCCTGCCTCAGCCTCCTGAGTGCTGGGATTATAGCTTTATACCTCCACACCCTGCTTGAAGAGAAGTTTTTATCAGCTATGATAGTCTTTCATTTGGATTGGTGGCTCTAAGGGTGTTGTCTGTTAAAATGGCCCATGAAGTCTATTCAGGTTCCTCAGATCTTGGGCTGTCAGAATTTTTACCAAACAAAAGGACTGTGAAATGTGGGCTAGTTTTCAGTGAACTGAATAGATTGGCAGAACATGGGCCCCTCTAGGCAACGGTGAGGTGAACATTGTACTCACTCATTTTGGAAAGTCACCTTCAGTTGCTAGTCACATTCCTAACAAGATTGCTGTCACCTCTTTAATGGGACCAGTGGTCTGCTTCCTGGTGTTACTTCTTGCCTGGCTTCAAGTCCCAAGGGGTTCTTTCCCTGGCTTGAGCATAGGAGGAAGTCATGCTGGGTGATGACAGTGACTTGGGTCAAGATAAGCCTGGGTTAAAATAGCCGAGGCCCTCCAGCCTCAGGCACTCACAAGAGTGCATCTTTCTTTGCTAGCCCTGACCTGGGCTCAGGGCCTGTGAAGAACTCAGAGTGCTGAAGGTCTGCATTCTTGGGGCAGGCAGGACACTGTCTCCACACTCAGGATGGTCTCGCCATCTTCTTCGAGTTAGGCAGTACACCAGGCACAGCAGTTTCTCCTCAGATCTCTGGCTTAATCAGCTCTGGGTTTCCGGACTTTGTGTCCAGTTTGAAGAACCAGGGTGGTTTCCGAATTGGACTGGCTTCCGAGGAGCAGGTTTTGATGGTGGGTTGGCTTGCTCTGAATGCTAGGGAAAGCCACGGCAGTCACTGTGCAGGCAGTAGCTGCTCTCTGCTATTTGTCACATGGAGTAGACTTCCTTGCAGAGTCTAGTAAGTTTGGGCAGACTTCTTATCTTGGCTGAAGCTGCTTGTCTTCACTTTCTTTAGAGTTATCTCAAAGGGAAGGTTGTGGGGGAGTTTGTCCTTCTGAGTTTTAGCTTCTAAGATGAGTTGATTCCATGCAGACATCATAGATCTGTCTTATGGGGTTTTGTATTGTGATATCTGTGCTTTAGTGGGTTGGGGAAAGCTTTAGCAGTGTCTGAGACACACGGTATCATATTTGTAGTTCTTGGACAGAGCTTAATTTTGTTTTTGTTTGAAGTAGACTATTTTGCTTTATATTTACGCTGGACAATATGAAATTGTAGATACTCAACTGTTTGGGGCTTCCCAAGCCAACAGTTTCACATGGTTCAATCTAATATTTTGCCTTTTGGTCTGTGGTTAGGCTTCGTTTCTGAAGTCCTCTAGGGAGTATTGTCAAAGTGAAACTGTGTGCTATTTATGGAACTAGAGTATCTTCCTTGGAGGCATGTGATACTTTGGTTAGACTTTTTCTCCTAGTGGTACTTTTTTAATGTTTTGACAAAATTAGAATGAACTTCTAATTAGACCGTCCTACACTGTTCATAGTACATTAAAGCATTTTTCTTCTAAATCATTTATTTCCATTTTTCTGTTTTATTTCTGACAGGAACTTGAATCAGATCTGGGTGTTTTGTGAAAAGTTAATCCCATCAAGTGCCAGTTTGTTGGTCTTTCGGTTTGCTACAGAAAAGCTAAGAGGAGCCATTTTAGTTTCTGTGATTAGAGTTGGAGTTTACAGTGCAAGTAGCTATTTTGTTACCTTTTTCAAAGTGGGATCTGTGTTGCTCAGCGTCCAGTGTCAGTGCCTCCTTGCATATGATTGCTTCTCTGCTCTGCAGTGCAGTGGGAAGGGCTTAGCTCTGCTTCCCAAACGGAGCTGCGTTGTGGATTCACCAGAGGGAACCTTTAAACCCACATTGGTGTCTGGTGGACATTCTGATTTTATGTCATGGAGGGAGTTTTAAAAGCCCTCAGATGATACTAATATGCCTAACACACATGTTCAACTTAACTTTTCTTCTACTTTTTTTGTTTTTTTGGGGTACTGGAGTTTGAACTTCTTTGGCGGTGGGCAGCCACCCCATGGCGATCAGGGATTCTCTGCTCGACCTTCCACTCCATCCCCTCCTTCCTTTCATGGTTACCATGTCAAACTCTGGCGCACAGCGATTACAGCACGTGGTGATTAGAGGCTTCATGGTTACCATGGCAACTCCCGCACATGGCAATTGGAGACTTCCTGTTTCACCCTCCTCCTTCCTCTTCCCCTCTAATTACATGGCAACTCCTGCTGGCAGGCAATGGGT